ACAGAAGAACAAGGCAATTGCAAAAAGCCAAAAGAGCCCAATTGTTCCCAAGCAGCAGGTGGGAGTTGGTCTCTTCTCCCAGGGACCAAGTGATAGGACAAGAGGAAATGGCCTCAAGCTGCATCAGGGGAGGTTCGGGTTGAACATCAAGAAGAATTTCTTCATGGGAACGGCTGTCAGGCCATGGAAAGGGCTGCCCAGGGAGATGTTGAAGTCCCCACCCCTGGAAGTGTCCAAGGAATGACTGCATGTGGAACTCTGTGCTCTGGGCACAGGTTGGACTTGGTGATCTTGGAGGTATTTTCCAGCCTAAATGATTCTGGGATTCTGTGTGGTTCAGGTCCATTCAGGCAGTCTCAGAGCTCCAGAACCTGGACATTACCAAGGGTGTCTAACCCCAAACTCACCTCATTGACTGTCACTTTGGCACTCTTGGCAATCTCCTCAAAGGTCAGCTGGCGGTGGTTGGCCGGGCGGGTGAAATCTCAAAAGAAGTCAAACAAGAATGATTTACACCAGTATAGTGTGGTGACAACAGAGCCTTCCAGTGACAGGAAGGGACTGTTTCAGGTTACCCACCGGGGAAAGGACCCTCACTCTTTGGGAAACAAAGATGTTTAACTGTGTTCTAAAAGTCTTATGTTACACTGGAACATACTCCAGACACCGTCCCTGAAGGGTTGCTCTCCCTCTCCTCCATATCACAGAACGGACACCTTCCACTATCCCAGGTTGCTCCAAGCCCATCCAACCTGGCCTTGGACACTTCTGGGGATGGGGCAGCCACAGCTTCTCTGGGCAGCCTGTGCCAGGGCCTCACCACCCTCACAGGGAAGATATTTTTCCCAATATCCCACCTAACCCTTCTGTCAGAGAAGCCATTTCCCCGCCCTGTGTCCTGGCACTCCACGAGAGAGCCCCCCTGGACCTAGGGACAAGCAGCCCAGCACAAGGTGTCTTCCTTCATGGCACCTGCCTGTGGCTCCATCTACAGGCAAAATCCACACTGAACTTCCTGTATCCAGGAGTTCCTGCAGGTGAGTGACCAGACACACTGAGCACATCCCAGCTCACCTCCATGAGACACAACAGCTGGATCTTCTGCAGCAGGAGTGCTTCGTTTGCAGCCAGGTCAGGCTGTGAGGGGAGAAAAGGCACCAAATCAGGTCAGGATTACATTTTTCTCCCCATCCTGGGGCAGAACAACTTTACATACAGGAGTAAATCCCTGTGAAGGTTCATTTAGGAGGAAGGAGGTCACCACAGCCCACCCACCAGCCAGGAATGGTTCCAGAAAACAATCCAAGTGCCAGTGAACACACAAATCCACTGCTATGCCAGTGATTCCTAGAGTAGCCAGTGCAGGTTAACATCCAACATCACTGTTTTCCCTCACACTTCCCAAAACAGGAGGGAAAACCACTGTTTTCCAACTGGAAGCACCCCAGAGGGAAGCCAAAAGAAAACTAATAATGTGTATCAAGATGGAATAACCACTCCTAGGCTCCAATCAGAATTGCACCAGTGCTCCAGAGCCAGGAATGAGGCAAAGGTGATTAAGAAAAAGACCACAGACTCCAAGTGTCAGGTGGAAATCCCAAGCCTGGGTCTTCAGCAGTCCCAGAGCCCTCACCTGCTGCCCCCAAGCCGACTTGAGGGCCTGGAAGGTCTCCACGTTGCCGCTGTTGAAGGCGAAGAGGGTGTCAATGAGCCACTGCCGGTCTGTGCTGCGCAGGGACTCCAGCACGGGGTGCATCAGCTGCAGGGGACAGGCAGGGGGGTGTCAGCAGGTGAAAAACAGCTCCTGGGGCTCTAGGGATGAAGGGGTGTGGCAGCACTCACCAGCTCCCCGAAGTTGTAGACGCCTTCTCCCAGCAGCCCAGCCAGCCCCAGGGTGAAGGCTCTTTCCTGCTGCTCTGATACTGGGAAAAAAAAATCAGAACAAAAAAAATTTGGATTAAAAAAAGACCCAAGCCAAAACAACTATGGATAAAAAATACCCTAATCAAAAATAATTGGGATGAAAAAAAAGCGAAAAATAATTTGGATGAAGCACCACTTTGAGATCCATTGAGCCCTCTCTCACCTACATGAAACTATTCCCAGCCCTCATCTTCCCCCGTGCCACCTGAAATTCAGGAGCCTGCAGTAACCTCAGCAGAAAAGGGCTGATTTTTGAATCCAGAGTGAAGATTTTGGGGAATTGTAACAAACTTGTCCTTCTGGCAGGGCATTCCCCCTTTTTCCCCAGTGCAATTCAGGAGCAGGTCCTCAGGGGTCACTCCTCAGTCCAGCCAGACCTTGGATCCACCACGCCACAGCCGAAATGACAGGGAGGGAAAACCTCAGCCAGGGCACTTATTTGTGTTGGGGGGATGCAGCCGAGCGTGGAAAGTGGGATTTCCCCTGGAGAGGAGTTACCTGGCAGGTCCTTGACCTCGATGCAGCCCAGGAAGCGCAGCGCATCCTTGTAGTAGGCGGCGTGGTTCCCCACGGTCTGGTAGTACTTGCTGGAGAGGTCGTAGAAGCGGCTGTGCACTGATGTCACCCCAGGGAGGGTGTTCAGCATCTCTTCCACCTCCTCAATGGTCTCCTGGGAAGGAAAAGACCTGGCTCTTACAGCTCCCAGCTCAGAGGATGGCAGCCTTCCCAAGGGATCCTTGGTGACATCCTGGGCAAAGCCACCATCACTCCCACACCCTTCCCTGTGAGGGTTAAGAGGCTCTGGCACAGGCCCTGGAAGTGTCCAAGGCCAGGGTGGAGAAACCTGGTCTAGTGGAAGGTGCCCCTGCCCATGACTGGGTGATCTTTAAGATCCCTTCCAACCCAAACCATTCCAGGATTCCATCATCCAAACCCATCCCTCTGCAATTGCTCTAAGAGAACCAAAGCTGTGCTGCCTGAAAAATACAATTTCGGGTTTAAAAGGTGATTTTAAAACCAGCCAAGGATGACAAATCCCATGTGCCTTGTGCAGGTAACACCTCCAAAGGTCACTGTGAGCAGTTCCCACATCCTGGTGAGCTCACAAGCCCCTCAGGGCCGGGAGCTGGGATAACCAAGGAACGTCACAGCACCCCAAAACTCCCCATCCCAGGCCACCCCTCACCTTGGTGACCTGCAGGTCCCCAATGTTGAGCTTGAGGGCCCCAATGGCTGTTTTGCACAGGATCACGGCCTCATCGCTGCTCTTCACCTGCAGGGACACAGGGACCTGTTCAGACTCACCTGCAGCCAGGTGTGCTCCAGGGGCTGGATAAATGTCACCTGTGACCGTATTCCATCCCTGTGGAAAGGTGCTGTTCTCCAGCACAGGTGACACACATGCCAGTGACTCCTGGCCTGCTCAGAGGCAAAACACACCAAGAACAACTTCCAGCGTACCTTTTCCCGGGTCTTTTCCAGAAAAGTCAGGGCCACATTGGGATCTGGAACAGAGGGAAAAATAGATTTAAATGAGCAGCTCTCATGAAGCTAAACCTCACCTACCAAGACACCTTTTACAGGATTCCTGAAGGCTGGAATATAGGTTTTCCATGGTGTACCCACCCTCAACCTGCAGCAGGTTCTGCCAGGTAAGCCAGCCTTTTCCTCACCAACCACCTCTGAAGGGAAGCTGTAGACTTCCTACTCCAGGGATTAACAATAACTTAAGCTTTTTAATCTTTTTAAGCCAGCACTTTCCCTTCCCCACACAGCAGAAGCAAAACAACTTCCCATCCAAGATTGCCCTGTCCCTGGCCGCATTCCAGAGGTAACAACAGGGCAGGGAAGAGGGGAGGACACGCACCTGTCATCTGCCGGACCACGTGCAGGATAATCTCCACCAGGGACAGGGGGTTCACCCTGCAGGGAGCAGCTCAGAGTCAGCATGGGTCCCCCCAGGCGACCCCCAAGCCCTCCCAAGTGACCCCCAAGTCCCCACCAGGTGACTCCCAGTAACTCACCTGTGCTCAAACTCGCTGATGAAGTTCTCATAGAGCTGCAGGGACAAGGACAGGGACACTCAGGGCAAAGGAAACCCCGGTTCAGAGCTTCTCACCATATTTCCTCTCTATTCCAGCTCATTTGAACATCCCTGGAAATGCTGGACAGGGCTCTGAGCCAATTGGGCTAGTGGAAAGGGTCCCTTCCAGGGAGGGTGGAACATGATGATCCTCGAGGTCTCTTCCAACCCAGACCATTCCAGGATCCTATGATTTTTCCAGAAAATCGGGCATCCCATACAGAAATCCCAGCACTGTTCAGAACCCAGAATTGCTCATTTTATCTAATTCTAGCCCCACAGGCTTCTTCCAGTGAAAACCCATCCCGCACTTCCAAACCTCTTGCTAAAGCATGGAATGAAAATAAAAAATAAAAAAAAATCCCCCTGAAACTGCCCAAAATAAAAATTTTAGATGAGTGAAGAATCGCTTTGAAGCTTCTGAACCCGAGACATTTGATTTTAGCAGAATTTTCACACAGTCGCCAGTGCAAACACCCCGGGAGCTGAACCCACCCTGGTTAGCAATTCTCCAAGAGAATTAGGAAAGAGAAAACCCACAGGCCGAGTTTTTCCTGGTACACATAAACAGCAAAGCTGGGAAGAGCGCGCTCACCTTGATGAGCCCATCTCCCTGGGCGAAGCAGGGGTCCTGCACGAAGTCCAGCACCTGCAGGGTGAGCTGGTGCCACAGCCTAGGGACACAGAACACCCCCGTGAGCCCAAGAGCGCCGGACCGAGCCGAGCGCACCGTGCAGCGCCTGACGAGGGCGCGGATCGGGGGAGAACCGGGGGCTGGCACCCCCTGACAGGGACAAACACCGCCGGAGTCACCTCCCGGCCGACAAACGAGGCGGCTAAAGGGACGCGGGTCCAGCGGGGCCCCGCGAGGGCTCCTCAGCCGGGCGGGCCCGGCCGCGCTCGGCTCCGGGAGCCGGGGCGGGCGATCCCCCGCACCCCGTCCCCNCCTGGGCCCTTTTTGGGATCCTCGGCTGCCCCCCTCCGAACCCATAATTGTCCCCTTGAACCCCTAAGCGCCCCCCATGTACCCTAAGTACCCCTTTGAGCCCCCAGCTGCCCCCACAGCCCCTAATTGCCCTGGAACTCCTAATCCCCCCCCCGGACCCCCAGCTGTCCCACAATGGGGGGCAATGCCGAGAGACCCCAACACGGCCGAGGGGCAAAGGGACACGGATTTGCCGGGTTTCACCCAAATCTCATCCCTGGGTGTCACTGGCCGTGGAACCCCCACAGCTGCTGCTGGGCTGTGGTGGCAATTCAGGGTGCAAGTCTGGGTTCTTCCCCTGGCCAGTTTTGGGGAAGTCTGGGGTGTTTTGGTCACATTTTTGGAGGGTTCCATGCGAGGAGGGATGGGAGCAGAGCTGTGCCATGGCAGGGCAGGGATGATGTGTGCTCCTCGTTCTTCTCCCCAGGGCAGAGTCCGAGCGCCATGGAGGACCTGCTGGATGTGGAGAACAAGCGGATGGCCGACAGCCTGGCCAGCAAGGTCACCAGGCTGAAGTCGGTGAGTGCCGAGGTCACATCAGGTGTTGAGGTGAAGAGCAGGCTCAGATTATCTGTGAATCCACAGAATCATGGAAAGGCTTGGGTTGGAAAGGACCTTAAAGCTCACCCAGTCCCACTCCTTCCCATGGGCAGGGACACCTTCCACTAGACCAGGTTGCTCCAAGCCCTGTCCCACCTGAACAGAGAGGTGTTGCTAAGCTCAGCTCCTCGGGGAAAAATTAATGAAAAAAAAGGCAGGTAGATTAATTTTGGAAAATACCTGTGTCTCTACGTAACTGTTCTTAAAGCTGGTTTGCTCCCATTAACATCAAACACTTTGATTTAGAGCTTTAAGCTTTAAATTATCATTAAAAATTTCATGCAAACTGTGGAAGAAGTCAATGACTCACCGTGTAAAAGGGCAGACTGAATTCCTGTCATTGTGTCCCAGGGTTTAAACTCCCCTCTCCACCTGGCAGATTTAGACAGTCAGGCTTTATTTTCAGAGCTGAAAAAGTTCACCTGCCTGACAGGGAAATGCAAATCAACTTCTTTTTTTCCTGCACCAGACAAGCCCCTGTGTGTCTGTTGGAGCTGGGAAAGCAGCAGCTTCTTCAATAATTTGCATTTCAGATTTTAGAGGTTCTCTGGATATTAAAAGATCATTAATGTCCGTTTCCTGCCTTGCCCTGCAGCTGGCTCTGGATATTGACAAGGATGCTGAGGAGCAGAACCGCTACCTGGATGGCATGGTAGGGACCTGGGAAATGGGACACAGGGCTTTCTGTTCAAATCAGGGAATTGGGATGAGAGGTGGGATGGCAAAAGCTCTTAAGGGAGAATCCCTAAAACAGCACTGGGATTGTTGGGGTGTCCTGTACAGGGCCTGGATTTGGACTGGCTCATCCTTCTGAGTCCCTCCAATTCCATGATTCTGCAATGCCTCCAGCGTGTCTTTTCCCGCCAGGACTCGGATTTCCTGAGCGTGACGGGGCTGCTGACGGGCAGCGTGAAGCGCTTCTCCGGCATGGCGCGCTCCGGCCGGGACAACCGCCGGCTGCTCCTCGCCGTGTCCGTGGCGCTCATCCTCATCTTCTTCATCCTCTACTACCTGGTGTCCCGGGCGGGGAGCTGAGCCCGGGCTGGGAGGTGTCACAGGGCCCCGAGCAGGGCAGGTGTCACAGGCCAGCCCCACCATCCACAGGCCTGTCCACGCGTTTTCCAGAGGAGCCTCCAGACACACCTCCACCTTCCCAGTGACCTTTCCTCCCTCCAGCTCCTTGTCGTCGCTCCGGCTGGGCCCAGACAGCTCTTCCAAAACAAGTTTGGCTCCAAAGGGATCTTCATGCCTAACATGATTTTGGGGTCATGGCTCAGGCTGTGACCTCCTGCCTTGTCCACATCCCGTGGGTTGTTTCTAAGGGCCACTTCCACATCACCTCCCTTACTGAAAACCAGGAACTGACAAATCCGGAGACTTGTGGATCCTGCATAACCCAGCTGAGCCCTGCGAGCTGTAGGATTTAGGATGCTGATTTACGGGATTTGGGAGTACCAATGTGTGACTTACATTCCGTGTGGCCGCTCTCCATTTCCCTGGGACTTGTGGCCCATATTCCTGGGCTGAAAGGAAACCTGTGCTGCTTTCAGGTGGAATTAGCAATGGATCTGGGCCTGGATACTCTCAGATTGTGACAGGGAAAAGATGCCGGGGAGCAGGACTCTGATTAAATCCTTGGTTGTCTTTATCATCCTTGTGGGCAAACTGGGCTTTACCCTGTGGGGAGGGCCACAGTCTATAACCACATGGGTTTGCACTTGAGTGGACCCTTCCAGAACTTTCCCACACATGTGCAAATTACATTACTAAATCAGGGTAAAGAAATCCAGTGGCAGTTAATCATGGTTACTGTGGCACCCTGGTTCTAGAGCACTCTGGGGAGATAATGTGCCAATGAGCAGAGGTTGAGGTGAGGTGGAATTCCCCCTGCAGCGCTGTCAGGAGTTGGGGGGAATCGAGGAGGGATTTGCTGATTTGTTTATGAATTTAGAAGGTACAAAAGGAACCCCTGCCTTGCCCTGGGAGGGTGTCTTTGCTTATTTGCATTTCTCTTCCTGTGACAACCATGGCTCAGCCATTCCTCCTCCTCTGATTTAAATTCCCCAGCAAACCCTCCTCATGGATGGCTGGGTGTTCCTTTGCCTTCACCCTGTTCCCATCGGGAATTCCTTTGCCCTTGGGCTAACTCGGGTCTGCAGCTATGAAGGGAATGTTGTCCCATGTACCAAACTGCTCACCAAACACACACTGGCTGGATTAGGTGTGTTCTTTTCCACATGTGAGAAAAAGTGGTGCAGGGAGGGCAAGGAGAAGGGAGCCAGCAGGAACTTCCTCTGGCTCTTCCTGCTTTCCTGGTGCAACGTGGCAGCTCTGGGCTCTTTCCCTTGGGAAGAATCAGTGGCCTGTGATTCCCGGAGCAGATGACTCCCGACAAAAGGCCCCTGGAGCAGCCCAGCCCTCACCCTGGTGGGGTTTATTTTGCCTTTCCTGCTGTAAATAAAGCTGATTTTAGATCTTTTAGCCCGAATGTTTGTTCCTTGCGCGAGGAAGGTACAACCAGGTCGATCACCTGGTTGTACCTGTGGCCTCACAACCCAATTCCAGCGTCATCCAGAGCCCGGGGCTGGAGCAGGACCCTCGGGTGGGGTGGGGGTCTCCAGAACCCTACCCGGTGTCATGGGGAGATGAGCATGGGGATGCGCCGGGGCTGTGGGGACTCACGGGGACTCACAGGGACACTCGGGAGGCCTGGGGACAGGTGGACACTGGGGAGAAGGGACAGTGGGAGACACGGGGGCAGGGTGGGGGGTGCCACCGGCCGGTCATCCCTCGAGGGTCGGTGTCTCCACCCATGTCTGCGTTCTCACGGGAGTCCTTGTGCCCGGGGCGCAGCAGGACACGGGCCGCGGCGGCTCCGTCCCCGTCGTCGCCGCCCCAGGCCCCGGTAGCTGGGCCCCGCCATGTCCGTGCGGCTTCCCATGTTGCCATGGCAACTGGACGTCTCGCCGGAAGTGGCGTAAGAGGACAGGAAGTGACTGCCGGGGCNAGGTGGGGAATGCCCGGCGGGGGCCTGGAGCATCCCTGCGGGAACGGGAGGACGGGAGTCGGTGTTGGGATGGGATGTGCTCCCGTGATGGGGGATGTCCCGTCGCCGTCTGAGCAGAGGCATCACCTTGTGAGGCAGGGCTGGCCCGGGAGCCTGGAGAGCAGGGCTCTGCCAGGGAAATCTGTGTTTGCCAAACCTCCGAGTTCAGCTCCCCAGGATCCCGGTCTGACAGGGCAGAGCCGAGTCCTTGTGACAGCAGGGAAAGGCGGTGTGCTGTCACGTCCCTGTGACAGCAGGGTAAGGCAGGGTCACATTCCTGGGAAAGCAGAGCTGTATCCCTCTGACAGCAAGGAAAGGCGGTGCAGGGGCACCTCCCTAGGAAGACAAGTCACACATCCCAGGGAAGGCAGTGTTACATCTCTTGGAAGGCAGAGACAGCAGGCTAGGGCAGTGCAGTGTCACATCCCTGGGACAGCAGTGTCATGTCCCTGCAAAGGAACTGGCACATCCCAAGGAAGGCAGAGCTGACCACCCTGAGGCCTGGAGACACTTCCAGCTCTGTCCAAGCTCCTCGGGCTTGCCAAGCTCTCCTGGCTCTCCCCGTGCCTGGTCAGGACTGTGCACAATGCCCTGCTCCAGCAGCACTAATTTTCTGGGAGAAGCTGTTCCCTGCTGCTAATGACTGTTCCCGAACTGCTAATGACTGTTCCCAGATGATAATGGCTATTCCCAGCCCAGCTGGGCACAGGGCTCTGATTCCTTTGGATGAGGACACACAGAGCCCAAGGGGGGAACAGGGAAATGACAGTGTCTCTGCTCACCTGGGCAGGGTGACATGTCATCCTGAGAGAAACTTGTTGAATTAGGGACACAGCAGTGTCTCCTGGATCCCAGAGGAATGCAAATCAACACTGAGACTGGTGATTCCCAGTGGGTGCAGCTTTGCGTCCATCCCTGTCCAAAAAAACCCTCTCACAGGAATACCGGTGATTTGGTATCTTAGATTCACATAAAGAATTGCAGAGGGACACATCTGCTCCAGGGTTTGGGTCAGACTAACAGCCAAGTGAAGTCAGTGAAGCCCGAGCACAATCCTGCCCAGAGAAGAGCTTTCTATAGAATTTTGGGATGATTTTCTCCCCTCTGAGCCAAAGTCAATGTTGGTTCTCTCAGTTCTGTGCTTCCCCCTGTGCCGAGCAGGATCCAAGGCTCCAGGCCCTTCTGTCTGAGTGCAGCTGCCAGAGGCATTTTGGGCAGGTGGGGAGGTGACAAGGGGAAGCAGAAGCTCACCTTGAAGGACGTGGCTGAGCTGCTCCGGAAGAAGGAATGTCGGCGCGTGGTGGTGATGGCTGGCGCCGGGATCAGCACGCCCAGCGGCATCCCGGACTTCAGGTGATGTCTCCATCCTCTGTGTCCTTGGAGGGCTGAGGTCTTGTCCATGGAAATGATTAACATGGGATGGGGCTGCCCAGGGAGGTGGTGGAGTCACCATCCCTGGAGGTGTCCGGGGAACGGCCGGACATGGCACTCGGTGCTCTTGTTGACAGAGTGATGATGCACCACAGGTTGATGATCTTGCAGGTCTTTTCCAACCTCATCGATCCTGGGATCCTGTCTCCAGCCCACTGCAGCCCCTCTCAGCTGCCCCCTGTCCCCACAGGTCTCCCGGGAGCGGCCTGTACAACAACCTGGAGCAGTACGACATCCCCTACCCTGAGGCCATCTTTGAGCTGAGGTATTTCTTCATCAACCCCAAGCCCTTCTTCACCCTGGCCAAGGAGCTCTATCCCGGCAACTACCGCCCCAATTCCGCCCACTATTTCCTCCGGCTGCTGCACGACAAGGGGCTGCTCCTGCGCCTCTACACCCAGAACATCGACGGGCTGGAGAGAGGTGAGCGCCCTCTTCCCATCTCCAGCAGCAGCACCAGGAGTTGAGGGGAGAAGCAGGATTGGGGAGATGCACACAGGGAGGCTCTGGCTCAGTCCTTTCCCACACACTGTATTCCAGTGGCTGGGATCCCTCCCGACAAGCTGGTGGAAGCCCATGGCACCTTTGCCACTGCCACCTGTATGGTGTGTCAGAGGAACTTCCCCGGAGAGGACTTCAGGGTGAGTGGGTTCAGCTGGGCATCAACACAATTAACACAAGGAAGCATTAATTATTATAGTAATGACAGGTCCAAACCTGTTCTTTTGCCCTCGGGGACAAGAGGTTTATGGAGGGGACCGGGTTTGGGGTTGGGCATTGCTCTGAGGAGGCAGTTTTGGGGTCTCTCCCTTCAGGGAGATGTCATGGGGGACAGGATCCCTCGCTGCCCTGTGTGCACCGGAGTCGTCAAGCCTGACATCGTGTTCTTCGGGGAGCAGCTCCCACAGCGCTTTCTCCTGCACCTCACAGACTTCCCCATGGCAGACCTGCTCTTCGTCATCGGGACATCCCTGGAGGTCTGGGGAAAAGGCACATGGAAAACAGGGCCTGAAGGGGAGAGAGGGCTTAGAGCAGGCGAGAAAATGGATTAGGGATGTGAAATTAGAGGTGGAGGGTAAGAAATAGGGTGGAGATGCTCTGAGGGACCCTCTGGAGACCAGTTGGGCACCTGGAGAGCTGAGGACAGGCCACCAGGCAACTGGTGACACTGTGACCTCTTCAGAGCTGGGTCGGCTGAGCGGTTCCAAGCCGAGAATGCCGGGAACTGGTGCCCCTGGATGGGGTGACTGTCCCTGTGCCCCTTCGGTCCCCCCCTCAGGTGGAGCCCTTTGCCAGCCTGGCTGGAGCCGTGCGGAGCTCCGTGCCCCGGGTCCTCATCAACCGGGAGCTCGTGGGCCCCTTCTCGTGGCAGCAGCGCCACAACGACGTGGCCCAGCTCGGGGACGTGGTTGGTGGCGTCGAGAAGCTGGTGGAGCTGCTGGGCTGGAACGACGAGATGCAAGCACTCATCCAGAAGGAGAAAGAGAAGGTGGGAAGAGGCTCAGACCCCCAGCTCTCCCCTCAGCCTCTGTGTTCCCTGTGCTGTAGTTAATGCAGGGGAGTGGGTTTGTGCTTGCTGGGGTCACATTGCACAGATAAGTGCAAAAAAAAACCAACCCAAACCTGAGTGCTGCTTCACAACCAGTGGGCCAGGGCACAG